ACCACCACCACCACCACCACCACCACCACCACCACCACCACCACCACCACCACCACCACCACCACCACCACCACCACCACCACCACCACCACCACCACCACCACCACTGTCAGCACCTCCCGCTGTCTGCTTTGGTGACACGCTGCTGCAGTCAGCTCCTTCATTCATTGCGTCCTGTGGGCTTGCAGCAGTAATGCCAGCAGCAGCCACAGCAGCTGCCGTCGCCGCAACAGCACCAACAGCAGGTAGGGGAGTCTTACCCAGCTCCCTCTGCCCCTTTGGGGTAATCAGGCCCAACTCACTTCTTGCCCTGGAGGGGGTCTTGGGCACCTCATTCCCTGCTTCAGGGGTTTTCAGCTGCTCGCTCATTGCTGCTGCTGAGCTGCAGAAGCTGCTGGCTTCTTCGGCCGTTCTTCCCGGCGTTTTTGGCGTCCTCGGCGTGTTGGAAGCAATGGGTGCTTTGGGTGTATTAGGCGTGTTGCCTGTTTCGGGAGTGTTGGGCGTTTTCCGCGTTTTCGGCGTTTCCGGCGTTTTCGGCGTTCTAGGCGTTTTTGGCTGCTCGACGCAGCCCTTTGAAGATCCGGAAAGTTCAGATCCTGCCCTCGGCGTCTTGGGCAGCCCGACACGCCCTTTCGGAGTAGCAGGCAGCAAATCTGGGCGCGCGGTTCCCGACTCTTCTAGCTTCCCAGCCTGCGGCGTCTTGGGCAGCCCGACACGCCCTTTGGGTGTAGCAGGCAGCAAACCCGCGCCCAGCTTTCCAGATGGAGCGTCAGGCAGCAGATCTGCGCCAAGCTCCCCCGACTTGCCAGACTTTTCCAGCTTCCCAGCCTGCGGCGTCTTGGGCAGCCCGACACGCCCTTTGGGTGTAGCAGGCAGCAAACCCGCGCCCAGCTTTCCAGATGGAGCGTCAGGCAGCAGATCTGCGCCAAGCTCCCCCGACTTGCCAGACTTTTCCAGCTTCCCAGCCTGCGGCGTCTTGGGCAGCCCGACACGCCCTTTGGGTGTAGCAGGCAGCAAACCCGCGCCCAGCTTTCCAGATGGAGCGTCAGGCAGCAGATCTGCGCCAAGCTCCCCCGACTTGCCAGACTTTTCCAGCTTCCCAGCCTGCGGCGTCTTGGGCAGCCCGACACGCCCTTTGGGTATAGCAAGCAGCAAACCCGCGCCCAGCTTTCCAGATGGAGCGTCAGGCAGCAGATCTGCGCCAAGCTCCCCCGACTTGCCAGACTTTTCCAGCTTCCCAGCCTGCGGCGTCTTGGGCAGCCCGACACGCCCTTTGGGTGTAGCAGGCAGCAAACCCGCGCCCAGCTTTCCAGATGGAGCGTCAGGCAGCAGATCTGCGCCAAGCTCCCCCGACTTGCCAGACTTTTCCAGCTTCCCAGCCTGCGGCGTCTTGGGCAGCCCGACACGCCCTTTGGGTATAGCAAGCAGCAAACCCGCGCCCAGCTTTCCAGATGGAGCGTCAGGCAGCAGATCTGCGCCAAGCTCCCCCGACTTGCCAGACTTTTCCAGCTTCCCAGCCTGCGGCGTCTTGGGCAGCCCGACACGCCCTTTGGGTGTAGCAGGCAGCAAACCCGCGCCCAGCTTTCCAGATGGAGCGTCAGGCAGCAGATCTGCGCCAAGCTCCCCCGACTTGCCAGACTTTTCCAGCTTCCCAGCCTGCGGCGTCTTGGGCAGCCCGACACGCCCTTTGGGTATAGCAGGCAGCAAACCCGCGCCCAGCTTTCCCTGTGGGGTATCAGGCAGCAGATCTGCGCCAAGCCCGCCTGAATTGTCAGACTTTTCCAGCTTCCCAGCCCTGGCTGGTGGTTTTTGGGACTCCCGTTCAATCTGAGCAGACATTGACTGGCGGAGGTCGTACCTCCCTCCTTTCTCAACGGGCATGGGAGAGGGCACGGCAGAAGGCAGGGAAGAGAGCGAGGGAGAAGCCATACCAGGAGGAGGTTTCAAGGAAGGGTAAGCGGGATTGGGAGAAGAGAAAATTGTTCGAGGAGGGGTTGAGGGCGAAGCGTCGGGGAGAGGAGGGGGGATTAGGACGTGAAGGGTAGCCGATCGAGTCATGTGCCGGCTGCCCCTGCTGCTGACGCTGCTGCTGATGCCAATGCTGTTGCTGTTGTTGCTGCTAATGCTGACGCTGCTGCTGCTGCTGCTGCTGCTGCTGCTGCTGCTGCTGCTGCTGCTGCTGCTGCTGCTGCTGCTGCTGCTGCTGCTGCTGCTGCTGCTGCTGCTGCAGATAGCATTTGGATTCTCAGTACCGCAAGAACCAATGTCGGTGCTGGTCTCACTGATACTGAGGCTGATGCTGCTGCGTGATCGGCCGAAACTGCCTCTCTGCACGGCTGCTTGGCTGGCCTTGGCCACTTGATCCACCGCTTTACACTCCTCTTGACCAACCACTTGATCCGACTCATCAAGATTGCAAAAAATAGACTTCGAAGTTGCTTGTTTGTGCGAGGAGGGTGAGAAGGGCGAGAAGGCGCGTGGTTGGCGGCGAGGGGTGAGAGGCGGCAACGGGGGAAGCGGCAAGCGAGAAGGCGTGAGGGGTTGGCGCAGGAAAGCAGAGGCGGAACGAGTCAAGGAGGAGGGGGTGAGGGGCTCGCGTTGGCGGGAAGAGGAGGAGCGATGTATGGGGGAGGGAGAGTCTAGGAGCATTCCGGTGGGGATCTCGAGAGCACAGGAAGAGGATGATCGCCAGCGCTTGGTCAGCTTTCTCCCCTCCTCCTGCTGCGGCGTCACCTGCTGCTGCGCCTGCCTTCCCTCCTGCTGTTGCCTCTGCTGCTGCTTTCCCTTCTGCTGCAGATGCTTCTCCTGCTGTTGCTTCTCCTGCTGCTGCCACTGCTCTTTCATAAGCGCCAACCCTCTCTGCTTTTGCACCTGCTGCTCTTGCTGTTGTTCCGCTTCATCGTACTTTTGCCATCCTTCTCCGTCTTCTCTCTCCCACCCCCCACCCCCACCGTCACTCTCACTTTCTTCATCCGCTTGCTCCTCAATCACAATTGAAATCTTCTTCTTTCGCATGCCGAATCGGCCCGGCTCCGAGCCTGACCTTCCGAACCGACGCTGCTTCCGAGCCTGCTGGGCCACAGGCTCGGCAACAGCAGCACCATCAGCAACGGCGGCAGGCACGGAGGCAGGTTGGGCGAGGGGGACGCGGGCGAATTCGCAGATGGCGTTGGTGAGAGCAGCGGAGGCCGTTTGCTCTGCGAGCTGCCTCAGATCCTTCAGTGCAACACCGCCCCTCCCAATGTTGCTGCTGCAGAAGCAATGCCTGTGGCAGTGCGTCCAGGCGGAATGGGCGGCGCTGATGGCGGCGATGGTGCGATGCAAGGGCGCTGGCTTCTCACGCCCCGCGATGGGCGGATCGACTGAGTGGGGGGTTGGAAGAGGGAGAGAAAGGAAATAGAGGGGTAAGGGGTGGGGAACAGGGAGAAGGGAAAAAGGGGAACAGGAGGGATAATGGGTGAGAGAATGGGGATATCAGGGTGGGTAAGAAGGGAGAGAGGAGCCAGGGAGTATGCAAGGGGTATCACGGAGGTGCATGGGCGAGTGAGGAGGTGACGCGTAAGGACAGGTGACGCGTGAGGACAGGTGACGCGTGAGGAGAGGTGACGCGTGAGGTGAGGTGACGCGTGCACTGCAGACTTTCCTAAACACTTGCTCCACTTACACGCGGTGTTACACTTGTAGTATTTCAGCCACTCCACGATTTCGCGCAGCTTCGCCTCCAGCCAAACCGGGTAACCACTTCGCGAATCCAGCAGCGTCGCAGCCATCGGATCCGATGAGTTGACGGCCACGATCTTCCAGGAGGACTTGAGATCGGGGTTGACGACGAGGAACTCGAGCAGCGGCTTCACCGGATACACCTGCCCCACTCGAGCCTCCCCGCGCCCGATTTCGATCACCTCCAACGGCGCGTGCTGGTCGCAAACCCCGTCGCACAATGTCGCGGATGTCGCCTTGTCACAGGCTGTCTTGTCGCATGCCTTATCGCACGACGTACAAGTATCGCCAGATCCAGCATGAAGAGCCGTTTCAACGTTGTCGCCTTGGCGGCAGCAGCACGTCTGCAGGATAATTCCGAGGTTCCAATCGAGATTGTGACTGTAATGAGCGGGTAACCCGTCCACCTGGCGAACGCGCAGAGGGTGATACACCTCGTTATAAGCCGCCTCGATTTGCACCCACGAGTTACGCGGCGTGCAGCAAACCATAGCAATGCTGTCGCCCGCCACAAACCCATTCAGGCCCGCCACTTCGAAAGCGAAGCTGCTGGCGTCGTTCGAAGCTGAGTCAGCAGGGCGAATCGGAACGTCATTCCACGTGGAGATCGGGTGCAGGAACGTGGTGTCCTCCTGACCTCGCGCAGACTGAATGGTGGAAGGCGGAGAAGGGTCGGACAGGAGAAATCCCCGGTACAGCACGGATCCAGGGAGACCGAACTCGATATAGTCACGAACCTCCATGGTTCTGTGCGAGTTTTTCAGAACAATCACGTGCTTACGTGTTTGAGCACGATCGTGCTCCTACTTGTTCCACACAATGTCGGATTTCAGAAGAAGGATTGTGCCTGAGGGCTCGTACGGCTGAGGAACAACTCAGACTTTCTGGTCGTACTGATAGAGTCGTTATTACTGGAACTTGAGTCGAAATAGGAGAGAATTATCATAGGCAGCCAGCTGAGTGATTCAAAAAACTGGAAGTGGCTACAGTCTCCTGCTTAAAACCATACTGACGTTTGGGAACGAGTCTACCCCGGATCAGGGAAGGCCTTTACCGATAAGGCGACTTGGATCGAAAACGGACCACAGGCGCTGTGTAGTGTGGCTCGAGGTGGCACTGGGAGTCTCTCGCTCCATGTTTTACGGCGCCTCAAATGCTCAATATAGACCAAGCGCGTCAGCAATTGTGCGGGCCGTAAGTAGCTCCCATCCAAGTCTCACTCCAAACCGTTCGATCACGACAAACATCTTGACCACATGTGTCCGGGAATATCGATCGCACCAGTTCGCAGGAGCGGCGCAGGAGTGGCGCAGGAATGAACCTCTCAAACACGTCTACACGACTTTGACGACTGCTGATTCGTGCATTGGCGGTGGAAGAACTGATCGTAAAGGGCATACGCGTTAAGGAGAACCGCAAGAATAAAGCGTCCTCCGGATTCGTCAAAAACCCGCGCCGTGAGCTGCACGTTTGGAGATCACCAGCACTACACGCCATCGCCTAGCGTAAATATGGCGAGGCTACAGCCATCACCTACCAGTCAGGCACCCGCGACAATCGCCGAACGGCCATCGTCTCGTCACACTCGCGACAGTCGCTGGCAGCCTGGCGACTAAAAGTGTTTGCTATCGGCGAAAGGGATTCGTCGCTTTGGTCGGCTGGTGGTTACTGAGCTGAGACCGACAGTCTCCGTAAGCTCGCTCGCTCGCTTTCGGTAAAAGACCATCGCGAAGATCTCCTAGGTGCATGACGTGGCGTGACGACGACGCGGGTAGAGAATCTGTGCCACTTTTCGTCGCGGTCTGTTTCTAAGTTCGATGCATCTGTCCTGCGACGTTCGAGGGCGAGCGAGACAGCGTGGCAAAGTGTGGCTGCCATCGGTGAAAAAAGCGGCAAGACTGATTTTGTCCCCCAAGCTGTGTCGCCTCGGTCGACATTGGTGGACATAATTCCTTCGAAGTCGGAAGTACAGTATTCCCTGACAAGTCCCATTGACTCTGTTGTCCTCCAGGCGCACAACATTGGTGGACATAACGGTGCTGGAAATGGAAGGCATAGGTCCTTTGATGTCGAACGAACTGTACAGTAACCCGACAAGTCCCATTGACCGGAGAAACATGCTTCTAAGCACATATTAAGTCCTCCTTGATAGCTTCAGCTCGCCTGAAGTCGCGTGTTTTGTATCTAGTGCGAAAGCGGAGGACTAAGGATGAAAGACGGCTACGTTGTAAGGAATTTGCCTTGTCACAAACAAGAGATGTTTCTTTCCATGCTACAAGCAGAAGAGACACAAATGAACAACTCCCCCAGCAGAGGCAATAATGAATCTGCAATGCAACGGCTAGTTAGAATTCCCACAAGCAGCTTCAGGCAGATCATTGGAGTTGTATGGTGCCGATTGAATTATTCCCATCCAGAGAAGGAACATCAATGGTGGTTTTGGACCTGAATCTGGTCGGGCTAGGCCCCACAAACAGCAGACATTCCTGCACTATATACATAGCTCAAAAGCACATGGCTAATTGGCCTAATTGGCCTCACTCTTTTGGCTCAAAACACATGGCTAGTGCTGATTGACTGGTGGTAATCAAGCCCTATCCCGAATCGACCCAACCCCTACACGTTGACCGTAGGCGACATGATTTTGTCGCGGGGGGTCGAGCGGTTGTCGCTAGGGAAGGGCTACGACCTACTTTCGACAGTACAGTAGATCGTAGGGCGAGGGCCAAGGCCTCCCATCCCATCCCTGTCAGAATCCCAGCCACTAACCACTGGGATAAAAGGGCTTGTTTGTGTAGCGAGTGAGTGCGCCCATAACCCCCCAGGCCAACGTGCCTGTAACCCTTCCCTAGGATCAATCGGGGATCTCCAGTGGACCTCTGACACCCCCCCGCACTGGGATGCCCGAGGTGCACACACCGGGAATCGAACCCGAGACCTTCGCTCTGATACCATGTCAGAATCCCAGCCACTAACCACTGGGATAAAAGGGCTTGTTTGTGTAGCGGGTGAGTGCGCCCATAACCCCCCAGGCCAACGTGCCTGTAACCCTTCCCTAGGATCAATCGGGGATCTCCAGTGGACCTCTGACAATCCCATCCTATCCCATCCCACCCCACCCATCCAGAGCCCAGGAACAGCAGGGCTTGCGTATATATCGATCCGCAAAAACAATTTGGGCCGATACTGAAGCTCGCATTTGATCGCTCAGCAAATAGCAGAGCAGATGCGGCCAAGCTAAAGTTGTTTTTCTGGTCGTAATCAGTTTAAGGGGTATCCATTCCTAGATGAGCACGTGCTAACCCCTACTTGGGGCTGGCAGAACACGCCTGCACGGGGGTGGGTTCGATCCCAGGACCTCATCTATCGGAAGTGCCTCTTTCTACTGACTAGGCCACTTATGGATAGCAGATGCGGCCAAGCATTGCTAGCGATTTCAACCGTTGAACGAAAGCGAGTCCACACTATTTACTGTCGCAGACTAGCCCCAGTCGCAAACTAGCCCCGGTCGCAGACTAGCCTCTGTCGCAAACGCGATGGTTGTGGCGGAAGGGGATCAATCATGATTCAAAGCCCACCGTCGCACACCTGACGATGCGAGTCCTCCCCAACCATCGTTCGCAAGTGTTTGGATGGTTGGGACCCCCGTAAAATTGTAGGTTTGTAGGTTTGTTGGTTGTTGGTTTGTTGGTTTGTAGGTTTTAGCATCTCACAAGTATACAGGCCATGATACAAGTATACAACTTCATTGTCTTGTGCATCTGCTGAACACAAGCCATGCCATACGATGTACAGCGGTAAGCTACAATACAAAGATGTGTTGTATACATCAACATCCGTCTTTCTACCCGTTCTCCTAAGGCTCCTCAGGAGCAGGCCAAGTACCATTACCACAACGCCTATGAAAAACACACACCTCCTTATCATCCCCCAACAACGGAGACTGCAAAAACCCTTGGTGGCAAAACCCGGCAAGCAACAATTTCCTGCCATACCGACACAATCCCTCCTTTACCCTCTCCCTCAATCCCTCCGCTGCCTCAACCACACCGCCTCTCGCCTTCCCAGCAATCTCTTTTGCCAGCTTCAACGCATGACCAATCTCCTTCAAGTCTAACTTGGAAAGCTCGACGGGACGCTCGTGCACGCGATAGTTTTTACAACTCGCGTTCCGGTCGCAATCCCGGGCAGTCAAGAGTTTAAATTCCTCGTCCCGGGGGAGCGTGCGGGCGGCATGGCACTGGTGCTGGATGTACGTCGCTCCACTTGCCACAGCCATAATTTGATAAAGAGTGGGCTGTGTGCCAAACGGGACTATCTCTATCACTACCGAGCCGGGCAGAGGCTTTGGTGGTTGAGGTTGTGAGGGTGGGACACCCAAGGTTAGAGGCAGGCTGGAACTAGCCATGTTTGCGCTGGTGGTGCTGGTAATATTGGTAATGTTGAAGCCGCTGCGGCTGTTGCTGCTGCTGCTGCCCGATTCATTTTCAGGCACCATAACAGGCGCAACCCCCCTCAGGAACGCACAGGTGGGTGCCAGGGCTGCCCCATGCACGGCCACAATCACATCGGCACTCCGCACCGCCACATACTGCTCCTTAAAGCCCAGCCGCCCGAGATCTGCCGCCCGCACGTCGAAATTCAGGCGGGAAAAGAGGTTGACTAGCGCCACGTGGGATGTGTGGTCCAAGGCTCGCCGCCCCTGATTGGCCGAAGCGGTTCGCTGGAGATACAGCAGGCGAATCTTCTCATTCCCTGCAGTCTCCACGCCCAGGCTCATTCCTCTTCCCACCCTCCCCCGCTCCCAATCACTCCATCTCCCTCTCCTCCCCGATTCCTCCCGCTGCACCTCTCCTTTTTCCTCCTCCCCCTGCCCTCCCTTCGCCTGCTCTCCCTCCCCTCCACCCACCCCTCTCCCTCCCTCCTCTCCCTCCTCCCCTTCCACCTTCCGTCCCACGCCCCCTTTCCCCAGCCACCGGTCAATCCTCTCCAGAAACGCCGCCTGCACCTCCTGCCCTCCGGGGTACAGAATGGCAGCGAGATTCCCCGGCAGCACCACGTTTTCGAAGCACAGAGGCTGGGCTTCCGTGGCCTTGTCCCACACATGCTCAAACTCCACCCTGCCCCCGGCCTGGCTGGTTGTGTTGACGTCCAACAGCAAGCCGCGGTTCAGCAGTTTCTCGATTAATTCGCTCTCCCACTCACCCCATTCCCTCGGATCTCCCATACTGTTCTTGTAATTCGGCCCTTCTTCTCCACCTCCTCCTCCCGCTCCCTCTCTCTCACCTCCACCCACACCAGATCCCGCCGCCGAGGCAGACCCCGGATCACCACCCAGGCTCTCCGACCCTGGCCCGCAGGTTCGGGCATCCTGCGTCAGGTCCGGGAGGAGGGCGGCGGCAAGCAGGTGCTGCAGCAGGGAGGCATGGAGGCCTTCAGGGCCAAAGGACTGGACGATTTGGAGGAAGTAGAAGTGGCGCGGGAGGAGAAAGCGGTCCACGTGAGGGAGGAAGGGAGGAGGGGATGTGGTGTTTTGGAGGGAGGTGGAGGAAGAGGAGGAGGAAGAATTCTGTGGGGCATGAGCGGATGGGGTTCTTAAGGAGGAATCTGTTTGGGTTTCCTTGATCACTTGTGCGAGCTTTCGCTGCGCTGCTGCATGCGTTTGATCAGTGCTGCTGTTAGTGGGGCCAGGGACACTGCTGGAGGAACCAGAGCTGTTATTGCTTCTTCTTGCCGTGCTGAAACCACTGCTGCTTGTCGCATCCCTTGAACAACCTACTCCCACTCTTCTCTGCTCCTCCCCCCACAAACTCCCCTTCTCTTCGGATCTCTCCCCCTCCCCCTCCCCACTTCTCTTCCCAGCTCCATTTACCAGCAGAATCTGAAGCACCTTCCCAAGGAAATGCGCCACGTTATTGGACGAGCCATCCAGCAGCTGCAGATACGTTGAACCTGGACGCCACCAGGCTTTGCCTATTCGCCCCTGAAGCCACTCCATAGGCCGCTCCCCCCACTGCTTGTAATGCGACTGCTTCACTATCATGTCAAACGGATCGTCATTAAAGGGGTATATGCCACAGGGCAGCGCGGTCAAGGGGCCGTCGGTTAGGGTTTCATTACGCGCGGCTGCTGAATTGGCGGGCTGCGATTGGTCGCAGAACCAGTCTGTGGCGAACTCACGCTTCAGTCTACGCCTGGTACTGCTACCAGTGCCATTGGTACCGTTGCCATTGCCTAACACAGATCCAGCGGTGCCGGTAACTTGAGGAGAGAGAGGAGGAGGAGAAGGTGGGGCTTGAGGTGGCGGGGAGGGAGGGGGCCTGATAACGACCAGCTGGGTGCCGTTCCAGCAGAGCAGACGACACACGCAGAGCACCTGCAGAGAGCAACAAGGGGAGGGAGGAGAAGTATAGACTGGGGTTTGAAATTTGAGCTGGTGGGGTGGAAGAACGGGGGAGTGGGCCTGATAACGACCAGCTGGGTGCCGTTCCAGAGAGCAGACGACACACGCAGAGCACCTGCAGAGAGCAGCAAGGGGAGAGGGGGAAAAGGGGAGGATGGGGTTTGAAGTTTGAAGTGGTGACGTGGGAGGGAGCACGTCTGCACACGCACCTGCTTGACAGCGCACAGCACCTGCTTGACAGCGCACGGCACCTGATTGGTAGCGCACGCACCTGCATGCAGCAGAAGCGGTTGGCGACGCGGTAGCAGCGGCAGCTTGTGCCCTGGCTCAGCGCTCCCGAACTGATCCCACCACCACTGCCACTGCTGCTGCCGCTAGTTCTACTGCTGCTAGCGCTGGTGCTGTTGCTGCTGCTAGGAATGGAGCTGCCGTTGTTGCTGCTGGTAGCGCTGGTATATAAGTCACTTGGCTCCAGCTTCCTTCTCGTGAACTGATCCTCCATAAGCGGAAGCGGAGGCGGCTTGGTCAAAAGCGACAGCTTTCGCCGTACACGCAGCTGCGCCGATTCCAGGAGACTTCCTTCGCGGGCTTCTGAATTCGGAATTAATCTCTCTAGAAGGTCTGAGTTCCGTGGTTCCTGTGACAAAAGTGGCGGCGCGTTGATATGCAGAAATCGAAAATTCGCCCATTGTGAGAAGACGCTACGCGGGAAAGCTAACGCTTGAAACTGGAAGGTGAAACAAAGCAACAGTAAGATTCCAGCGGAAGCGGCTCGGAACGATAGATTGTAGAACCTCAGGGATGTATAGCAACGGAGCGGGCGGTGGAACCTTAGGGCGGGCATGACAAGCGGGGCTAGGTAAAAGAATCACGAAAACACCAGATTTAGTGACCTGAATAGATTATGACCGCCATCGGCTACAACTCGCTATAGGCTTCACACGTTTTTTAGTTTCCGTACTAACCGTTATCTAGATGTCTATACTAATCACCCAATCATATACCACGAGCTTGCTCATGCCACCAATGCGCAGATGGCTGTTTCCCTGATTTTCTCAGTCTTTATTTATTCACAAGTTTATGCACGTGTAGTATTTGATAAATAATTGCAATAGAATTCTTTATTTCATGAGCATTTCTATATCTACTTGTTTGATGGCTTTGGAACTCCACAATTGCTTGTTGACTGATTTAGGCAATCGCTCATATTCGGTGACGAGTGCACCTTTTAGAGCGTATCCGCACGTACCGATATTATCCACACGCTTCGCGGCCAGTTTGGGGGTGGAAAGGGATCAGGTTCATGCGGCGCAACGACGTGGGCGGAGCTTCTGGTACAGCGGGGACATTGGCGGAGCGGGAGCCAGGTGGAAATGGGAGATTCTTTGGCGGTCCCAGCAGGAGCGCGTTCTTCGTTGTGACTGGTTTGGTGTGATGCCGTGACTGGCCAGCCGTCCGCTTTCCTCAGTGGCCGTTTGTTTCACGGGACAATCCCAAAGGAGACGCACTGCAGATTCTACATCCCTACAACGGTCTGCCCCTCAAAGGGGATGACCTCTTGTTCCCAGGGCGACGGTCTGCCCTCACAACATCTGAATGCTTCCCGCGAGTCCAGAAGTGTCATTCGGTGACTCCAAACTGAAAGGGTTCCTTCTGCTCTGTCCCGCTTCTTTCCGCGTCTCTGCGCTTCCCTCCGCCTCCCCCCGGCTTTCCTCCGCCAGTCTCACCAACTCCTTCCGAAAAGTAACATCGGTGACCCCGAAACGATCCCTCCTCTGGTTCTCCCACCAGCCATCCTCACTTGTTTCCTCGGCTCCCCCGCTCGCTCTTTCCCCCACCAGTCTGAGTCGTTTGGGGCACTTGTATCAGTCAGGCAGTCTCGAGAATGAAGCGAGAGAACGAAATCGACGGTCGTCCATTTGCTGTTGGACGACAGACAGACACCCCTGAACGAAACCCCAACCTTTTCCCCCTCGCTTTTTTTACAGGATGTGCCACTCACAGTGGAGCATGAATCGTAACTTCCGTGATGTGAGAGACACGAATGCAGAGAGGATGGGGTCAGCCCACCTGTCAGTGCTGCTGACCAAGTCACAGCCGCCGAGGATTAGGCATCCGCTGGGGGTCTGGTTTCCGAATTTCCGCGCTCGCGCAGCATATCTGGCACCAACCAGACCCTCTTTACACCACACCACACCACCAGCTTCCTCCTTCCTTAGGGGACCATCCACATCTGCTGAAACCCTCACCAAGATGGGGTTCCAAGCTCCAGAGGTTCGATTGGTGCCATCACGTTGTGATATCTTTCAGATAGTCAAGCATTGCCTCATCATTTTCTCCAAGAGTTCCTTAGTTCGATCGGCTTTGTTTAGTCACTTCGGTAGTCAACCGGGATAACGAACTCCCAGTAATTCCTCAGTATGGTTTCTGACGCAGAAATTGTGCGTAGACTACGTGAGATCTTAAACGAGGCGGACCTCGATGTCACGACAGAGAAGAGTATACGCATGCAATTAGAAGAAGAGTATAACATCGACTTATCACAACGTAAGAAGTTTATTCGACAGGAAATCCAATCATATTTGAACGAGAGACCTGCATACGAAGAGGACGCTGGTCAAGAAGAGGAGCCGCCTCAACATGAAGAACCCCAGAAGCCTTCTAGAAAACGGAAGGCCGCGAAGGTCACAAAGGATGGGTACGTGTTTTTGGTCTGTTTGTTTTTTTTTTTTTGGAGAGAGAGAGCTCTACGTTGATTGGTCCAGTTCAACATTTTGATCATGCGCCTCGTGGTTCGGTGCAGAAAGGAGCCGAAGAAGCGCACTGGTGGCGGTTTGATGAAAGTATGCGGGCTTTCGGATGAGTTGGCGGCACTCTTAGGAGCTAAAGAAATGCCAAGAACAGATGTAAGTTCACGTCAGTCCGGCTTTTTGTTTCCCTCGTGATTGAATAAGCTAACTAGTGTTGTCCTCCTTGTGGCAGGTGGTTAAGGGTATATGGAATTACATCAGAGAACACGATCTTCAAGATCCTGCAAATAAAAGAGTCATCCGCTGCGATGGTCCTCTAGGTCATTTGTTGGGAACAGAGGTCACTGACATGTTTCAGTTGAACAAATTGCTGACGAGTCACATCAAGTCTCTTCCTGGTCCAAATGGTAAGTCTTTAATAAAGCTCCCGATACTCCTCCTTTCAGTGAGCCAGCACAATTTCTGTAACCTAAATGGATCCTTGTGCAGGAGAGATGCCTCAACCGAAGAAGCCCAAAGCTGAGCCGGGTGCGGGGGGATCTAGGGGAGCTTTCGCGCAGCCACTTCCCATGTCACCGCAGTTGATCAAATTTCTAAATTGTGAAGAGACAGAGCTCCCAAGATCGGAGGTTGTCAAACGTGTTTGGGCGTATATAAAGGAGCATGACCTTCAGGTACGTCAACCACTTGAGGCATTTTACGTTCAACTGACAATTGGAGTGAAAACTTACGTTATGTCAACGTTTTTGCAGGATCCTTCAAACAAGAGGAATATTTTGTGTGATGAACCAATGAAAGAGATGTTTGGGGTGGATAACTTCGTAGGGTTCTTGATGACAAAGCTCTTGTCTCCTCACTTCCTGAAGACAACCCCTGAATCTCAGAACCAACCTGTAGTACACTCTCCTGGAGATTCTGGTGACGGTTATTGATTGGTGCCATCGCGTTGTGATATCTTTCAGATAGTCAAGCATTGCCTCATCATTTTCTCCAAGAGTTCCTTAGTTCGATCGGCTTTGTTTAGTCACTTCGGTAGTCAACCGGGATAACGAACTCCCAGTAATTCCTCAGTAT